AGTCTTTTCTCTTCATTCTTCTCTTGGGATCTTGTGTATGCACACACATGCTCCTGGCATGTTTCTCAAGCTATCAGATATGGGACTTAAACCACATAATCAGCCATGTGGGATCCAGCCGCCTTAACCACCATACCACTGACTGGCCCACATCCATTCTTGTGTTGCTAGGCATTAGATGCTTAGGTGTGATCAAGCTGTCCATACTACAAATGATGTCTTTTGCTTGTTTTAGAGAGATTTTTGCTATAGGGTATGTACGCTCGCTTGCTGGAGAGACAGAGAACCAGAAAGCAAGAAATCACCCCCTGGGGGGGATGGCCATGCCACAATCCCTTCTCTTCCATTCTTCTCTCGGAATTTTGGGCACAGACACACATACATCCAGTGTGAGTTTTAAGTCACTGGGTCCAGAAATAGAACTGTAGTCAACTATGTAGGAGTCCAGCATGTAACCATTATGCCATCTGCTGGTCCCTACAAATGATATTTTGATGCCTGTATTTGTCCCTAAAAATAGAATTACAAGGTTCTATGTATTTTGGGGCTGGCAGGTGATGTGGTGATTAAGGGTGTTGGACTTCCACATGGCTGACTGCGGTTCAAGTTTCGGACCTGGAGACTTGCTTTCTCACTCTCTCTCTCTCTCCTCTTCTTGTCCTCTGTCCCTCTCTGGTATGTATGTATGTACGTACGTACATATGTATGTATAAATAAATAAATAAATTTAAATTAAATAATTCTAAAAAGAAAAATACATTTTTCTTCAAACTTAACTTTATTTTGCCAAGTTGCCTTCCAAATTACACCATTTTATATAATCATAAACTGTTTATGAATTCCATTTGTTCTACATCCTTGCCAAAATTTGATCTTGTTTAATTATTAAACTTTAATACAGGGGCCAGTAGGTGACGTGGTGGTTAAGGTGCTGAATTCTCACATGGTCAACCACGGTTTGAGTCCTGGACCTGGAGGCTTGTTTTCTCATTTTCTCTCTTTATTTCTCTCTCCCTCTTTCTCTCTCTGGTCAAATTTTTAAAAATAATAAATAAATAAATAAATAAATAAAAATAATTTAAATAATAATAAAATCATTTAAAAAAAAAAAACCCAGTACATATACAAATAAATTCAAAATGGTATTTTGTTAACCTTAATAAGTCTTTCCTAGATTACTAGTAAGGTTAAACATATGTGTGTGTGTGTGTAAATATCTATATATGCATACATTTATTACTGAACATTTGGGTTTCTTATTCAATAAACTGCTTTTTTATTTAAGAGATTTTTGCTATAGGGTGCTCACGCTCACCGAAAAGACAAAGAGACAGAGAGACAGAAAGCGAGAAATCACCCCCCGGGGGATGGCCATGTCACAGTCCTTTCTCCTCTATTCTCCCCTCAGGATCATGGGCACATGTACATATTTCCCTAGTGTGAGTTTTAAGTCGTCAGTTCCAGGACTCAAACAGTGGTTGACTATGTGGGAGTCCAGCGATGTAACTGTTAAGCCATCTGCTGGTCCCAATAAACTGCTCTTTTATGCCAACTGTCTTTTTTGAAAATTGGGTCATCTTTTTGCTTCTGATTCTTTGGCATTCCCCATAAATTCTAGTTACTAATCTTCTTTTGTTATATGTATTAGAGTTGTTTTTGCCAGCCTCAGCTTGTCTTTTAGATGTGTATTTTGTCTTTTCGGATACAGAAGTGTTATTTTAATGTAATCATATTTATTTATATTTACTAAACGATTTATGACTTAAAAAAAAAGTTTATTCATGAATCTTTTCCAAGAGCAACACAGAGAGAGACAGCATCTTCAACAGGGTCCTGATTATGTGATCCAGCCTTCAGCCAGATCCAGATCATGCGCAGGCATGTGCCTGCATACTGAGGGAGGTCTCTGGACTTGAACCGGGAACCTTCCCAAGTGGGATTGCCTTGCAGAGTATTGCATTTTATTGCTGTGCTACTGTCTGGCCTCTGATTTTTGCTTTCTGTATGTCTCTCTCTTCAATCTGAAAACACAGGGCCCAAGGTCTAGGCCTTGGACTTATTTACACTAATTTCCAATCATCTTAGTCTCACGGCATCTGTTCACTGATGGCTTTTGTATAGCTCCTACATTGGACCCCAGTCAAATATGATAATTTAAAGGGCCCTTACTCAGCTCGGCACCATACTATGTTTCTTCTTTCATTATCCTAGTTTCTTGAATAGGGAGTCTGCAGTCACTGCCTCCCTTCCTTCACCTTCCATTCACTGTTCAACCCACTACAGCTGACTTGTCCCACTATTCCACTGATGCTGATGAGACTTAAGCAACAAAGCTCACCTCTCTTCTTTTCAAATGAAGTCTGAACTGTGCAATCACGGTTTATTAAACAGATAGAAGCAGAGTTGCTTTGAGAAAAGGATTTGGGAAGAGATGGAATCCAAACTGCTTTCTTCTCAACTGAATTGCTGCACAGACATCTAAACTGAGCTCTTCCTACCTTTCTAACTCCCCATTCATCCACACGCCCTAATCTTCAGCCATACTGTGTATTTGAAGATTCTGCCACGGTTCTCCTTTCCATCTGTGTGTGTGCACAGTGCTCCTTCACCTGCTTTAGCTAGTTGTCTCAGTCTGATAGGACTTCCTAAGCTACCTTCTCCTTTATCATTCTTTCTTCTTTTGTATGTCTATTATCACACTGAATTGTAACTTTCTATTTACACATCTTTCTTTGCTACTAAATGGAGAGCTTCTAAAGATCAGAAACCCTGGGCCAGCAGGTGGTATGGAGGTTAAGACGTCTGGATCCCACATGGCCAGTGGCACAGTTCGTGTCCCAGTCCTTGGTGGCTTGAAAATGACACCAGGCGCTTCATGTTCAAAATCCCAGGAAGAGAATGGAGAAGGGATTGTGGCATGGCCATCTCTCCTGGGGGCTGATTTCTTACTTTCTCACTTTCTTCCTGTCTCTCTTTGGTGAGCACACACACCCTGGAGTGAGCAAACAAACAAAAACATGGAAAAATTAAAAGATCAGAAAGCTTTTCTCCATTAACCTCTTTATTTGCTAGAAGGGTGAGTGTGCTTATCGGGTGGGGGGCTGGTGTAGGATGGTGAGGGGAGGCGAGAGAGCGCACACAAGTACTTCTCCCAAGGATGGCTACATCACTGCTATCCCTTCCCCTACATTCTCTCAGGATTTTGGTCACATAAGCTCACGTGCCCAGCATATTTTCATGCTGCAGGGTTTGGGACTGGAACCACATGTGGAATCTGGCCATAACACCATGCCACTCGCAAGCCCTTAACTTCTTTTTTTTTCTTTTAAATTTTGTTCTTAATTACTGTATGTCTTTTTTTATATAATTATTTTATTTTATTCATTCTTTTTTTTTATTATTATTATTTTTTTTTTAGTTTGATCAGAGAGGGACAGAGGGTGAGAAAGAGAGAGGGAGGAAGTGAGAAAGCAAGCCACCAGATTCAGGACTTAAACCCTGGTCGGCCATGTGGGAGTGTCCAGCGCATTAACCACCACGTGACCTGCTGGTCCCCAGCCCTTAACTTCTTTAATGAATATAAAAAATAAGATTAATAGGTAAATTAATGAATAGCTAAGAAAAGTGAATTAAGCCAAAGTCTGGAGTTGTAGGCGACCATTATTATTTATTTTTAATTTATTTATAGAGGTTTTTGTCTTAGGGCATATGTACCCTGGAGAGAGATAGAGACATTGAGAGGGAAAATGAGACATCACTTCCATGGGGGCATGGCCATGCTATAATCCCTTCTCCATTCTCCTCCTGGGATCTTGGGCACACATACCTCGGGTGATTTTCAAGTCACCAGGTCCAGGACTCAGACTGCAGTTGGCTGTGTAGGAGCCCAGCAACATAACCACTACACCATCTGCTGGCCCCAGTAGGCTACCATTTTTACAAACGGCTTTATTGAGATACAATCTGTACACTATACAATCTACAGGGTTGTATAACCATCGCCACCATCTATTTTAAAAACATTTTTGTCCTCTCCAAAAAGAAAACACGTAACATTAAGCAGTCACTATTCACCCCACAACCCCAATCAATCACAAATCTTCAAAATCTGCTGCTGATATCTGGACCATGATGTTAAGTTTGGTAGGTAGTTGTCCCATGTACTCAACTTGTAGAAACTCAAAATTGGGGCCTACACAGCAGCTTCAGGTCTGATTGGCAGGTTATTAGGACTAGATGCTTATTTAACAGGAGTGGTTGGTTTGGTCTTGCTTCTCGCAGTTGTTGAAGCTGGTGGCAAGGGGTAACTGTTTATACTTTGGCAGAAAACAGGGTAGCTGGTGGCGGCTGTGTGAAGCGCCTAATATCAGGATGTGTTGGAGGGAGTTGGGCCTCTAGAAAATATGGATTAATAGTTGTGTCTGTTAAAAAAAAAACTACATGAGTAGTAGCTATTCGATACTTTTATTTATTTTTTAAAGAATTATTTAATTTGTTTATTTTAATTTGACCAGAGAGGGACAGGGTAAGAGACAGGGAAAGCAAGAAAGCAAGCTGCCAGGTCCGGGGCTCGAACCATGGTTAGCCATGTGGTCCGGAACTCGCACCGCGTCCTTAACCACCACGCCACCTGCTGGCCCCCGGTATTTTTATTTTTAATACGATTTTTCCAAAGGATCTCCGGATGGGTGCCGGGCGGATGGCCAGGAGGAGGACTTAAACTATGGCAACCGGGTGCCGGAGGCAAGCAGCATCTAACGAACGAGCGTTGCCAGGCAGTAGCGTTTCTCCAGGCGGTCGCCGCGTGCGCGTCGCGCGCGCAGTGACGCACCCGGCGCACGGTGACGCGGCGCGCGGCGCGGTGCACGCTGGGATATTTAAGTCTTCTCCGCGGCGCGGAGCCGCGATGTCTCCGGCGGCTTCGGCGGCTGGAGGAGGCGAGCGGCGGCGGCCCATAGCGAGTGTCAGGGACGGCCGGGGCCGCAGCTGGGAAAGCGGCCTGGTGGGGGCTGAGCCGTGAGCCCCGAGGTTCGCGCGCCTTGTCCTCGCTCGTTCGGAACGCGCGGCGTCAGCGAACACTGCTCGCCTCGCCTCCGGCCAAGCCGGCGGTAAACGGAAATCTCCTAGAGCCGCGGACCCCGCTTGAAGGACCCGACCGCGCCGAGCTGCTCCTCATGGGAAGTTACCTGGGCAAGCCTGGACCGCCGCAGCCTACCTCCGCTCCGGAGGGCAGGGATCTGCGGGAGAGGTCTGGCCGCCGCCCGCTGGCTCCGCCGTCTCCCCGGACCCATCGCGTTCACCACGTTTATCCCGCTCTCCCCACTCCTCTTCTCAGACCCTCTAGGAGGCCTCCCCACCGGTAAGATACATTGACCTTCTCAGATCCTCCCCTGGGTAGACTGGCTTTAAATTGAGGACTTGACTTTTAAATCCGATTATCATTTGCATCAAGACCTTTAAGTGATGGTTTTGTCTTAAAACCGTGGTGTGTGTCAGCCATCTCCTGCCCTCCTCTGACTCGGGGTGAATGAAATGTGTTACCAAAGCTATTCCTTCTAGTTCTTTAAACTGCCTGGACTTCAGTGGAGTCTAGATTTAGCAGAATACTTAGACCACCAAAATATCTCTGCTTTTGGAGAAACTATCTTTCTCTCAGGTTAACCATGTGGTATGTTTGATTTTATTTTTTATCTTTGGACCAGTAAGAGAAATAATAGCAGAACTCAAAGAGATGTTCCCAGGGACCATCTCTCTGATTGATAATAAAGCTGATCAAGTTAAAGAGATTTTCTTTTAGTTCCAGTGGCTGAGTGTTACAAATACAAAAATTGAATTCTTCAAAAATGCCTCCCTGTGCACCCCAATGGCACATACTTTTCTTTCACTGTGGTTTTTACTTGTGTAAAGCTCAGATGGTTAAAGTGTAGAGACAGCTGTCCAGCAGCTGCCACTTTCTGTCCTTAGAACAGAGGAAAGTTGTCATAAAATACTGTTCCGTGTTGCCTCAGAGGAAATTTAAGTGCTTTGGAAAACGTCTGAAGTCATATTTAGCTGTTCAACTTTTAAACTTTGGTTTCATAACATCTCTCTCATTTTCTGCAGGGATTGTGGGACTTTTTCAAATCGGTTTGTGATAACACCTCGAAGGCGCTATCCGATCCAGCAGGCCCAATATTCTGTTCTTGGGGTGCTTCCCACAGTGTGCTGGAATGGTTATCACAAGAAGACTGTGCTATCACCTCGTAATTCAAAAATGGTGTGTAGCCCAGTGACTGTAAGGATCGCTCCTCCTGATAGCAAATGGATTCGTTCTCCAGTGTGAGTATTATTGTTGGAAGAATGCACTCCTTTCGTGTCTTTATTATTCTATAGTTGTTCCTCTGACAAAACATCTATAAAGCAAAAAAAAAAAAAAAAAAAAAAGAAAAAAGGAAGTAGCTGTTTATTGGAAGGAGAAATGCCAAATTCTAATAAATCTTTCTCTTTCTTGCTCTTAATAGTAGCTTTAATTGCTAAGGGCACTTTCTATGAGTATATAACTTACACTTTGCTTGTTGGTTAGCTTCCAATTTCCAGTGACTTAAGTCTGCTATGACATGGTAATTAAAACATCTTACAGATCGCTGGACTCCCATGTAGTCGACCGTGGTTCGAGTCCCGGACCCAGTAGATTAAACTCACACCGGGTGCGTGCCCAAGATCCTGAAGAGAGAATGGAGGAGAAGGGATTGTGGTGTGGCCATCCCCCCTGGGGAGTAATTTCTTGCTTTCTATCTCTCTCTCTTCCTCTGTCTTTGGTGAGTGTACACGCCCAATAGCAAAAACCTCTCCCCCCCAAAAAAAATCTTACTGCTAGGACCTTGCCTTTCATTGCAGACCAGAGCAGATAATCAGCTCAACATTGTCCTCACCATCAAGTAATGCCCCAGACCCATGTGCGAAGGAGACCGTACTGAGTGCCCTCAAAGAGAGGAAGAAAAGAACCGTGGAGGAAGAAGACCAAGTATTTGTTGATGGCCAGGAAAACAAAAGAAGGTAACAGGTCCAGTAGAACTAAACAGGCCTTCCATGTGGATTCCTGAGTTGTTGTTGAAATAATTGATCATTCCCGTAAAGACAAGCTGACCATATCTTTTGTGTGTGTGTGTGTGTGTGTGTGTGTGAGCTTTAGTATAGATACCCTTTGGCGTTCATAGAAGAGCCTGGTAATGAGGGCTTTAATGCTGTTCTTTCATCTTTTTCATAAGTGCTAGAAATGAGCTGAGAACTGTTAGCCTTGTTAGCCTCATATTTTCGATACAAAAGTGTTCCATTTTATTTTCCAGAGAGAAGTGGCAAGCCTTCCTCTCACATTATTGTGTTCAGTTATTTTGTAACTACCAGTTTACATGTTATAATTGTGCTGAAGGAAATGCTTCTCAAATAAATGTGAAAATTAGAATGTGGTTGGTTTAGGGACCAGAAGATGGCATGATGGTTATGTTGCTGGACTCTTATGTAGTGGATTGTGTCTGGTCAAGTCTCAGACCAGATACTTTAAAAAAAAAAAAAAACAACA